CTCTCTCTCTCTCTCTCTCTCTCGTGAGCGCGCGCGCGCGCGTACACTTGCGTGTGCGCACACACTCGCCTTTAGCACATGAGGACATAACTCCCACGAAGTTGTGTATTGCTCCTTTGAAGCTCCCTCTTTAGCGATCTTGAATATTATCCTTGCTCTTCTGTCTTCACATTTCGAAGTGTTTCATGGGAAGGATGCTATCTTCAGCGTTCTTCGGTTTGGAAGTGTTCGAAAATGTTCAGAAGTGTTCAACCTGTTCGTGATTTCCCAGTCTTGAATGCTGCCATCTGTCCGTCGTTCTGCTCCGCAGCTCCTGTTTGAAGACCCCATGTTGTCTGCCTCCCCTCCTCAGAGGGCCTGCCCACTCCCTCCTCTAAGCCCTGGACAAGATCGTGTGTCTGTCGCTCGAGCTATCCTATGTAGCTCAACCGCCGCAAGGCCCCCCTTCCCCATGCTGTGTGCTCCGGGGCGTGGTGGTTAAGCTTCGCGCGGTTATGGCAAAACGGTAATACTGTGTCGCTCGCGTCCCTAGAGTAGAGTACTACGTCGTCGGCCTCCGGCTTCGTCTCTCCCCTCGGACCGATAGCCAGAAGGTTTGCCCAAAAGAATGAGCTTAAACCGCAAGGACACTGCCCCATCCATGTAGAAAGTTTTTATCACTACAAGCAAAACTCGGAGGGGCCGCTCGACGTGGGGTGCCGTTGAAAAAGAAAATGGCGGCCTCCGAAGTGGTGCGGGTTTCATGCTGACACCCGCGGGCCGATGTGTGGTGTACTGGTGCTTTAACTCATGACCCCAGCCTTGTGGAGATTTGCTTCTCACCTACTCTGGAAAGTTAAAACCACAGTTAGGATATAGGTAGATTTGCAAAATAGGATATAGAACTGGCATTTAGTTAAAATTGATTGTTTTTACTAATATCACGAAACTGGTCATACAGAGAACAAAAACAATTTTGCACGTCCAGGGGACGCCGGACCATCTGATGCACCTCGATCCGAGGCTCAAAAAAAAAAAAATGATGGTCCGGTGTCCCCACGACGTCGTTAATGGTCCGATGTCGTGGGCACCAAAAAAATGCTAAAACAAAAAAGTTTTTTTTGCAAGTCCAATTTTGTGAAATCAGTGAAAAGTTGCAATTTTAACTAAATCCCAGTTATAGTATAGAAGATCTATGTTTGAGTGAAAAGGTTGCGGTCAAGAAACGGTTTCATACAAGGCATGAAGACATTAGTAGTGTAGGCATGAGCGAAGCAGGCAGGCGGCAAGCTTGTGGATGTCATAATGCTAATACTGGAATACGATAAGACGAGAGAGAGAGAGAGAGAGAGAGAGAGAGAGAGAGAGAGAGAGAGAGAGAGAGAGAGAGAGAGAGAGAGAGAGAGAGAGAGAGAGAGAGAGAGAGAGAGAGAGAGAGAGAGACTTGTTGCTGACTGGAGGCCACAATTTTAGGAAATGTACGGGCCACTCTAGGAGTACCCAAATCCATCTGACTATAAACATTTCTACTCTATTTTTTTCCGCGGCCGATAGTTGGGCCAAGTACTGGTGGTTCAAACCACTAGTACATCCAAGAAGGCAGATTGAGCCTCTCCTGAAGATTCGGAGGCCAGTACTGGTGGTTTCAACCTCGAGAATATCTGAAACAACAGATTGAGCCTCTCCTAAAAATCCGAAGGTTATGGACCATCGATAAAGTCATCCGCGATTCATGGCCTCCTATTTTTTGTAAGGGACCCAATCTGCTTTTCAGATGTACTGGTGAGGAATCAACAGTCTATGGCCTCCGAGTTTTTACTGAAGGCTCGATTTATTTTCTTGGATGTACTAGGTGTTTAAGTTGCCCTGGGAAAACATTCAATTACATCACTAGCAATCTCCTGATAGCACATAGCAGAACTCACGCATAGGAATATAACTGGTGAGGATTTGGTCAGCTGGTTTGATACAATTTTTTTAAACTATAGCATAATAGCAGACGTGTTTGCTTTGTGTGGAAAAATTGTTGGGGCTCGGGCCTCATAGACGCCAGCCAAAAGAGAGAAAAAAATGTGTCGTGGCGGTTTGGAAAAACTTGCGCACAGTGCAGCGCTTCCAAAGTTGAGTGTACTCTTGGTTTAACGTCCCAATTTTTTCCTTAGTTTGTTCTTATTTAGATAAAATGCCTATTTGAATCTGTTGTTTGATTTTATCAGTAAATTTTGGACCATCCAACCTTGCTCCTTCCAATTCATAAGTACATCTTCTCAACCAGACTATCCAAAGAGTTGAAAGGACAACTCTCCTTCCTATTATAAAGATATTATGGGTGAATTCATCATACGAGTCAAATAACACTTATTGAAGTGATATGGTATTGTAACTTCATGACGATAGGTTTGGATCCCCAACTGTCCCCAAATGCAGTCCCACCATCTCCACAGTCAAATGACACTATGATATTGATGAACCACATGCTCAATAATCTTTGGGGTGGTCCTAGCTGGGAATGCAGGCTTACAAAATTTACATTATGGGAAAGTGATACCTTTTTGCCCCAGCGAGGCTCTGCCAATTAAGCAATCATTAGTAGGGAGACACATGTGCTCAATTTGTCATTGTCATGATACCACCATTGCCGGTTTAAATTTCATTGTATTGAACCATTTGATTGATCTAAGCTCCTCCCTACTAATATTGAGATTCCTCACTCGTTTGTCCATTACTTTATCTTTCAAGTTCATATTAATCTTTAGCGGGAGCATACGATAAGTTGATCCTACTGTCAGAGTATGAAAGGCGCAAGCATATATTCTTCTCTTACCTGTGAAGTGGACCAAACCCACTTCACCGAATTTAGAGCCAAGCTAGAGATGGGGGTATCTAGTCCGAAGGCTAGCCGTATATTTTTTATTTTGAAGACTCTGATTATTTAATTATCTTTCACGTACTTCTTATTTATTAGAGCGTTGTTATGAGCTACATCAAAAAGGGATAAGAGGATGTCCCCATTAGAATATTTTTCAACTATTAC